AAAATATCCCAGGAGCCTCTGGGAGATGAAAGGGCCTCGCAAATGTTAATTAAGGACATTCGGCTCTTAATTAAGGACGTTTTTAATGCCAGGTCACCGTGTTCATGCACAACCAGGAATTAGCAGCCCTCCTTGATCCCGAGCTTCCCGAGGAATTGGGATCGCGGAGCCCATAAAACCCGGGTTAATCCGCGCTCCGACGCCTGTTTATTCCCGAAATTTTAGGTCAGGGAATTCGGCATTAAAAAATTCATTGCTGCTGTTGTTGTTCGGGGGAGGGAGAATCCATAAAAGTGAGAGGAATCCGGGCTGGAGTCGGGATTTGCCTTCAGGTTCCTCCCTTGAGCCTTCGGAATGTTGGGATACGCCTGGAAAAGTGTCCCTGTTATTTCCCGTGGAGCCGGGGGAAGCTGGGAAGTCAAATGGAATTCCCGGGGCTCCTGGGAAAGCAGGAAACAAAAAGGGAAATTTAGGTCGAGGGCAATAACTTGGGGCTTGATATTCCCAAAATGTCCCAATATCCCGAAATTCCAACACTCATATAACCAGGTATTGAAACGCTCCCCTATTCAAATGTTTAAATATTCCAACACTCCAGAAACTCCGATATTCAAATGTTCAAATAATCCAATATTCCAAACTTCCAGTGTACAAATATCCAGATAATCCAATATTCCCATATCCCCAAATTCCAAATATTCGAATATCCAAATTGTCCAATATCCAAATATCGCGGCATTCCAATATTCCAAATATTCCAATACTCCCAATATTCCAGGGTGGGATTTTGGGAATTCTGAGCAGGGCCCGGAGCTGGATTTGATTCCTTCCAAGGAGGATATTCCCAGATAATTCCCCTCTTTTTCGGGCACCTCACCTGAATCCCTGGAATTCCAAAAAGTGTTGGATTCATATTAAAGGGATCCAAAAAAATTAAAACTCCAGAGACAAAAAAAAAATCCCAAAAAACCCCAAATTCCAGGCCCTTCCCTCGTGCAGAAGGGATTCTCCCAAAGTCGGCATTCCCAACCCTGCCCAGCGCTCGTTTTCCCTGGGAATTTCTTTTTGGGATAAACAGGGAACAAAGGGTTCAGGAAATGGGAATTTCGGGGGTTTTTTTGGGGAACTTCTCCCCTTTGTGACCGGGAATTTTTGGGAGCTGTCCCAAAAACCATCCCTCCTCTCTCTCTCCTCCCGGGTTCCCGGGAAGGAATCCGCGTGTCCCAATAATTATGGGATGCCCCGAGTCCTTCCTGGGTGGATTTTCAAAGGGATTCCTGCCCTGGGCTCCCATGGGAATGAGGAATTCCTCCTTCATCCCCCTGGGATTTCTTTTTTGGGGTGGAAATCCGGCTGGAATTCCGGGAAGATTCGGCACCTCCTGAGGATCCAGGGTTTTCCAGGGGTCTTTTTGTGGTGTTTCGCTGTTCCAACCTCTGCGATCCCGGTGATCCAGGACATCCCTGGGAGCCGGAGCCGCACGTGGCCGGGATTGGGGTGCAATTAAAGCATCACCCAAGCCAAACCCAACCTTCCCAAATTCCCTGGGGCATTCCCGGGCTCCATAAAAACCCGGCCGGGCCCGGCCTTTCCCGGACACTTCTCCCCAGCTCTTCTCCCTCATGACCTGGGTAAGTCCTGGGACTTCCAAAGGAACTTCCCCAAATCCTGGTTTTTATTCCCCAGACTTTTGGGATGCGCTGAGGAGAAGCCGGGAAGGAATTCCGCACGGAGAGGGATTTTTTTGGGGGGTTTTCCTGGTTTTTTTTTTGGTTTTTCCCCGGTGGGATTTGGCTCCACAAAGGGCAGAATCCCGGTGGGAATCGGGTCTGGGACTGGAGGAGCCTCGGCAGCTCCTCCGAAGGAAGAGGAGGAATTCGCCGCCGCCTTTATGGAATTTTAAACAAAAGGAAATTATTATTTTTATTTTCATTATGTTTTTTTCCCTCTCCCCTCGACCGGAGCAAGGAGCTGACGGAATTTCAGATGGGAAAAGTGAAACCTCTCCACCTGCCAAAATCCCTAATTCCTAAAAAAACTCCCGGCTGAACCCCCCAGTAATGAGTGGCATTGCATAAACAATTCCCTAATTAAGAGGCGGTTCCATCTCTGGTGATAATTGCTGCTGTTGTTTTTCCGGTTGTTGTCTTTATTGAATTTTATTTTTTATATAATCTGCAGTGTAATTTTATTTTAATTTTATTTTTTATGCGATCTGCCATGTCATTTTAATTTTATTTATTTTTTATACCATCTGCAACGTCATTTTAATTTTATTTTTATACAATCTACAACATTAATTTTTTACAATCTACAATGTAATTTAATTTTTATATTTTTTATACAATCTGCAATGTAATTTTTTCTCGTTTAATGCTTTTCTCTCTCAAAAAGGAAAAATATCGGAGTGAAACCATTTTTGGTCAATATAATCCTTTCAAAACTCCCTAAAAATGGAGTTTTTCCTGGAGTGGGATTTTTTTTTCCTGCGATTTCCAAGGAATAGGGAGAATTCTCAGAGGGTAGAAGTGGTGCAGCACCAAGAACTGATTTATTGGGTGTAATTCTCCCAAAATCAGCGAAGCCGGAGCCATTTCCAACCCTGGGACCCATGAGGTCCCTCCCAACCCCAAATCTTCTGGGATTTTGCCATTTTTAACCCCTTTATCCTGCTGGCATTTTGATTTTTTACCTTCCCTCCACCAAATATTTTGAATATTTTGACGCCATCCTGCTGAAATTCCTTAAAAAAAAAAAAAAAAAAAAAAATCGAATTTTTTTTTTGGCTTTTCCCTGACAGGACCCCAAATTCCTGTGGGATGGGAGCGCCCCAAAATCTCTCCTGACCCGGGCGTGGCTTCGTGGCGACACCCGGCGATTACCGGGGGGGACCACACCCCTAATTTTGGCTCTTCTTTCATCCCCACTTGAAAGGGCGACCCAGGGAGGTTCTTGGGGAGTCACCCCAAAGCTCCGGGGCCGCGCTTTGAAGGGCGGCACGAACCCGCCGGGCTGAAATTCCGCATTTTTTTCCAGGCTTTTGAGAGCGCAATCCGGAACGGAGGACGGGATTTTGTCTCCCCTCCCAAACACGCCCCAGTTTTGAGTCACGGGCCGAGAGGGGAGCGGGGCGTGCGGGCGAGTTTTGGGGCTGAGTCACCAAAAGGAAGAAAAAAATCGCTGAAATCGCTGTTTTTGTTGTGTTTTTTTGTTGGTTTCTTTACAGGTTTGAGGCGCCGCTCCGCCATGCACTGCCCCGGCGGCCCCAAATTCATCCCCGAGTTCCTCCCGCAGTGCCCGGCTCACTCCGAGCCCTTCGCCAACACCTGCCACCCCCTGAGCATCACCAAGAGCCCGGTGCCGCGCTGGCCCGCATGTCCCCAAGGTGCCACCGCCGTGCCGCTGCTGCCGTGCCAGCCGCTGGTGCAGAAATTCCTGCT